TAATAACTTGATTGGAATTATAACCTTGAATTGACAGTTTGATACTTTGAAAATTTTGAGCCAGCCCTACCCCCAAGGGCTGTAGGGTGGGGCTCAAAGGAGTCAGTGTGCTAAAATTTCTTCATTTTCCTTGTTAAGAATCAGAGGTGCTAGTTTCAAATCCTTTTTAGTCTGAAATCTGTATGCTAGATATTGAGTAAGGTGGTTTTATTGTTTTTTGTCACTTTGAATAATATTTCTGTTCATGTTAAAAACAAAATCAACTCTCTGTATAAATATATCAGGTGACCGTTAAGGCCCATGGGCCTCTTGTTTGTATATTCACCCTCTGTTGATCTTTGCCATTGATGAAAAAATTATGAAAATATATTTGGTTTTTCCTGCTTATTAAATCATCAAATATCATCACATAAAATGAATTAATGATCATCAGGAGAAACAAAAACTATAATGTATGTACCCAATATTTTCCATGGCCATGTAAAAACTGTAAAAACTAAACATGTGAATTTTTGAGAAGTTATTGAAAATTTGAAAGAATTGGCTATTATTGCATGAAAAGTGCTGGTGCATTTTTTAAATGTTTGAAACTAGATTAAAATTATTTTTTTATTGAAATAATTGTTGAAATGAACGAGATGGGATATCAACAGGTTTTAATGAGATTTTAATGGATAACATTTTAGTTCTTTGTTAACGTCTGTGAGCTAATCTTCTAACCTTTATCTGAATGAATTTGACCAACGATGTGTGACATTAGTTGTGCGAGTACAATTATTGTATACGCATTACCCATGATGTTTTGTTTATATCCCCAGCTGGTGATAGAAGCAGCGTCTGGTGCTGCTGTGGCAGCCGCCATGTCCGACAAACTGGCAGGCATGGACAAGGAAATGAAAAACATAGGAGTTATCCTGTGTGGTGGCAACGTGGATATAGAAAAACTGCCTTGGTAGTAGTCTAGGGTTGTAATGAGGTACCTAGGGGTGTTTGATACTGTGTCTTCTGTTTTCAACTTGCATTGGTACATATCAACAGTATGGGCAAACTGTAAGTCTAGCAGCATATTTGTCAAGAATTTGAATATCAGAAGCTGTATCGGAATTAGATGTGTATGTACATGTCAGCAGTGCATATGTACATAAAAAAAACATCAAGAACATAATCCTCTTGAGAAAAGTGCTGGAGGAATAAGCACTCAAATTGTCATAAATGCTTCAATAGATTATTTTAGTGTTTAAGATTTGTGATATAAATATTTGAGAAAGAAATTTCCAGCATTTTAAATGGAAACAATGTATTGTGAAAGTATTAAACCAATCATATTGCATGGATACAAAGAACTAATGTAGGAAATATATCAAATGAAGGAGTTACAATGGATAGTTCGGATGTATCAGATAATTCATAAAGGGGATAGGATATAAATAAGAACTGATGTTATGGTAAAACATATTTAATAAAGGAGATGCCTAAGGGATAATTAAGTTGCATGGATTTGTAATGGTATCGGGAACCAAACAATATTAAACAAGATGATTATATCCTATAAACATATTGAAGGTATATATATTTTATTAACATTAAACAAAATATTAACCTCAATTAAATTAATCCAACTTTATCAAATGTATCAAATTTTACTAACTGTGAAGGCTATGATTCATGTATTTAAATAAACTGTCGTGGTAAGAAGTTAATGAATGTCCTCTTTTGTAAATGATGTTAAGCTTATTCCGATTTTATAATACAATACGCATTTAACTAAGTACAAACCGTTTGTGTTTGTCCCAATGCATATTATGGATTAAGTAAAGACTATCCATGCTATTATAATAATTTGCAGTTTCCAATAAGCAATCAATTTGTGAATACATCTTTATATGTTTAATGTAAAGTGAAGAAACTATCTTAAGTCCATCAAAAATGTAAACCTCTTGAAACCTGAATCAGTACATTTGTACTTGTTTTTTTTTTATATATAATTATTTGTTTATGCATGGATGTTTTATATATACAATTGAAAATTCCAGTTTATTGTGTTACACCATGTTATATATATCACCGTATATTTGTTTTATTTACATCGTAACCAATGTTAGTGATATTATGATTGGAGAGCTAACGATTGTGCAATATATATATGGTGCTTGAATTTTATATGAATATTTAACGATGTATGGATGATGCCAGTATTAAATTACATCATTTTATAGACGAGAGTTGCTGGTGTTATATTTACCATCTATTTACTAGGTTCTATTTTACTGCACAACGTGTGTGGTGACTATTTGCTAAATTTATAGTGTGTGATATTGGATCACATGCAGAAACCATTGTGGGTGCTATATGTCACTAATTTTACACAGTTTATCATCGGTAGTATTAATTGATGGTAGTGTTTGGATTCGGTATGATACAGGAAGTTAGTTAAACGACTCAGCAGCAATAAAGTCAAGTCGGCCATGACCCAAGTAATAAGGGACACCAAAGAATACATCAAAAGAAACAGTAAAATGTTAAAATCGGCTTACATAAGTACACGGTGAAATGTTCAGATATTATTATATAAAAAAAGTATTTTAAAATTTCAGAATTTGTTGTATATACTCATTTCATACGGATCTCTCAATTCAACCGTCAGAACAGTATTTTCATATCAAGAACATCAGAACATTTGTTTTGAACCTGTCTAAAACTGGCACATTTGATCCATGTGTTTAAAACAGTTATTTTGGTTCTAGTTGTTTTCCGAGAAATAGAGATAATTAGCTTTGACTGAAATCGGAGATACACGTGTAGCTGCCTATCGACCATTTCAATTTTCTGATCAGTCTCAAAATGAGTCGCGTGCAACTAAGAGCAATAATGAACTTACATCTGAAATTGGAGAAAGATCTGTTCTGTACTTCGTGAGAAATAGCTATAACGATACTGAAATGTAAAAATCAAAGGGCGAAGTGAGCGTGTGCTGGTGCGTCATCGATCAGGTCTTAAGGTCATTGAGATCAAATATGTTAAAATATTGAAGCAACTTCTGTATAACCAAGAGGCCGAAGGTGATTTTTTAGGTCAGTAGCAAGCTGGGATAAAGCGCTATCAACTGTGTTCAAATGAATGACATTGACCCACTTCAAAGTTCATTTGGAACAGTCAAAGGTTATGATATTTAGGTTAAAAGTTAGTTGAGCTCAATTAAATACGTTTGATCTTAACCCACTTTTAAGGCTATAAGTGTGAGATTAATACCAGGTGAGCGATGCAGGCCTATAGGGCCCCTTTTTCTGATAAAAAAATCAAAATGAAACCAGAACAGGTACATTGTACATACCAAAATATAAATTAATGTACCACTTTGTATATCCATTCGAGTGATTTAAAAAAAACGTACCACAGTTTTTATCTGGGAATAACTTTTTATTTGAATTAAACTACATTCATATTTCACGGTACAGTGTAACAATAGTTAAGGAACAATGACATGTTACATGTAATATGACAGTAACGTTACAATAATTTACTATATAAACATCATACGTAAAATAACAAACAGTACGGATTTTATGTTAAACAAGTGTTGATCAAATAGACTTCTCATTTATTGGTAAGATATATTCAATTATATATACATTTTCATAGCACTGTTTCTGAAGACCCAGACCAAATTTGTTAAAATCGCTATTCATTGTATCTACTGATAAAGTATGATTTCCATGATTTATCTTGGTTCCACATATTGGATCTGATAAATCTACCGCCAGACAAGGAACTTTCGAGGCCAAAATATATCCCAGACTAATTTTGGCTTCAATCTTTATTGAAGAGGCATGATTTCGGGGTTAACCTTTATTTCCCTCATTGGGCCTCACTCCTCCTCTCCCGAAAGCCACACCATTCTTTTGCACAGCATTGAATTCCCTTGATCAAACATGACGTCGCGCCACGGTATAACTGACTTGGTGTTTAAAACTGCAGTATGCGAGCTAAAATCTGAAATAATATCTTGTTCAAAATATATTCGTATTCTCTAGGGTCCAAATAAAAAAACTTCCATTATTTAAGATGCTGTATCTTCGTATTTGGATAATTTCCAAAGTCCAGTTTTCTGCTTTCTTGGAAGAACCAAACTGTTATGCATATTCTGTGACATAATCGCATTGTCATGCATGATAGTTCCGCTTGGACCGTGTGGCTACGTTCTGATAAATAACAGCAATGCTGTAGTACACTATGGCTGCTCTTTATGGATAGATGTTATCGAAACAAGGGTGTTAGTTTGTGATGCAAAGTGGCCTTTGTGTTACACACGATAGTTACTCTGTACTGGGCAGTTGGGTAAACCACGGACTTAATCTAACTCCGTGGGTAAACACAAGAATTTCACTGAAGTGGATGTGTCGCTTGACCCCGCTAGTTCATATGTTACTCTTCAGATTTGGATAAAAATACTTTCTAGAAATGTTCGCAAAGAACCTTACTGTAGTTTCTCGACGCAGAAAGTAATAGATATTATACGCATGTGTAAAAGTTCATGCAAGTCAAAGCAGTTCTTCAAGGGTTATCGCTGGCGGCCCTTATGCTTTTCAGATTTGGTTTCTTTTTTTACAATCACTTTTATGTGGGGTTACAATATTTGTTACTAAGTTGGGGTTTGTTTTACAAGACCACTAGTTGAGGGTACATACAATATAGTTATTATTTCTCTGGTGAGCAAAATGTTTGTTTTACAATATCACTTCTTTGTGAAAGTGAATGTAGATATTTGTTACTCCGTGGTTGGTAGCGGTTTGTTGAATCCGGTTTTGTCACTCAGCCAGTATGTTGTCATGGCTCCTTTACCCTGAAAGAAATGGATATATGAGTTACGTTCTTGTGTCATACCAGTCTCATTATTCATGAGTTCCACACGTAAGTGATGATAACAGTCGAATTGGCTTACTTTAGATCCGGATTGTATTGATAAAAGTATTCACTTAAATTTTTGTTTAAACGAGAAAGAACAAAATAATTCAAGTTAATTGAAATAATGAATTAGTTAACAATATATTTCCCAAAACGTTTTTATGTTTTAACAAATGAAAATAAAATTGATTACTTTCAATAACGTTTTGAAAATAAAATTGAATCAAAGAATGACACAGAAATTATATTTCAGTTTAAGTTCTGACATTAACCCAGCAATAATAAATGTAATTATGCTGAGATAGAATATGCAAAAGTTGAGACGTGAACTATTAACCCATCCGTTATGCATACCTTAATAACAAGATCTCCCCGGAGGCTGATGTGGTATACTCCGTATGTATCCAAAGCGTCCTTGGTAACACTACTGATGTGGATCCTCTTGGCTGTGATGGATGAAATTTAAACATTCAGACGGCTATATACAGATAAAATAAGCATATATTGGAACATTAAAAAAGACTTTCAAACATTTCCAACATGAAAAAATAATAATAGTTACTTTGGTTGGTTTCATATGCATTTTCATTCAAGATTTCAATCATTAACTCGTTTATTAGACATTACTAATGATAGGACTTATAGTTGGTATGTTGATAAAGCGTATACCCTTTTTTCAATGCCTGTACATCTTCAAGGAAAGAATCAACAGAAATACGAAGAAGGATGCACCTATTACAGTCTGTGTGCCCATGTTTACGGCATGAAATGTCCATAACGTCCCTTTTAGACTCTTTGTGATATTATAGGTAAAAATAATGGCAATCCAAAGGTCTAGTTTATGTATCTCGAGACAGTAATACAGTAAAACCCTTTCTACAATTGTATACCTTCTTCATGTTTGTTGCCTCTTTAACGCACATTCTGTTTATTTAATTTCTACTGCGTTTCCATGTAATACTTTTATTGTGTTGGCGGGACTTTCCGTTTGTGAGTTGGGTCTAACACTTCAGTTATTTCAAAATCATGCGAAGTGAGGGAGCACCTTTTCAAGATATAATTTGTGGATGCAGTTGAACAAATAAGGTTTATTGCACATTGTGGCAAATAAGTCCATCTAGGACTCATTAGTGGTACTAAAAGAACAAATAAAAGATGGGGTTTTAAGTTTTTAATTAGATGTGTAAGGTGTTTCGTTTGATGTTTAAAGTATGTTTTCTTTAATAAACGTGTAAGTCATCAAGTAATGAATATAATATGGTATTAACCTTCTCCGTTCGATTCCATCCTGGACGCAGTATTTACTGTATCTCCAAAAAGGCAATACCGTGGCATGGTCAGACCAACGACGCCTGTAATAAGAGCAATGTCATTAATAGATTATGAGTGTTTATATTGTGGACGTAATACCCAACTGATTTCCAATAAAATAAAGAAATATTCACTATTACAAATCGTATTTGAAGATATCCGTTAATTCGACTAATTTCTCTTTCGATATTATCTACGGGCGAATCAACAAATGAAGTAAAATAATATGGAATCACTTGTAGAGACTACTATTGAAAAAGATTGAAAACGATTTTGAAAGATCTTATTGTAGACCTACGAGGTGATTCTGCACCAAGATATCTATATTGTGATGAGATTAATTTACCTGCACAGCAAGCCCCGGTGTGAAGGCCGATGCGCACTCTGATTTCATCATCGGGTCTGTGTCTCAGACGAAACGACATGACAGAACTGAGGATGTTGAGGGACATGTCAGCTATATGGGACGCGTGAGAATTACCTCCCTTACGGGAAAGTCCTCCAACAACCATGTAGGCGTCCCCAATCGTCTCAACCTAATATCAAATTAAATACATTTTGGTACTGGAATTACGATCTTATTTTGTCCTGTTGTTTGGCACTTCCGTTTAGTATTTAGTTGTATTTTTAGTTTACAAAACAATAATCAGACATCCGTCAAGATAGAGGTTAAAGAAGGAAATAGGACAGAAACCGCTTTACCTTTTCACCCCCCATGAAATTCCTCACACGAAGATAATTCTGGTGTCATGTAAGTATGAGTTCTGGGGTGATTTCTATGAAAACGTAAGCGATGCATTTTCAAGGAATAAATAAGAGGCAACTTAGTTTGCGTAAACGAGGTCTGTTAATGCCATGCATTGCATTATCATACATGTACCTACCCACAACTGAGGCTGAAGTGATCTACATTGTAACACGTACGTGTTTTTTATTCGTTTGAAATATAGTAAAACAAATCACACAACCTAGTAAGACTTGTCAGAGGGGAGGGAACAGTTTGTTTGTAAAATTGTTTTACGTTCATACAACAGCCAAGGTGATATGAAGGCCCTAATTATTGAGATATGTGTGATAGATGAATTGTGGATGCTCCAACATTAGTCGCCTCCGACAATTACATATGGTGGGATACAACAGAATATTCTTTCCAATATCCCAGATATATTTTAAGGAAAAGTGTCTAATGGTCCATTGTTCATGTAGCAGTAACGCCGACCGACGGGTTCTGACCCAGTACATACAACCCCAAGTCCTTAAATGGCTATTAGTAATGTGTGTATATAATACTAGATATTTTAACAAACGATTGTTAATCGTTCATGCAGCAGTAAGGTAAAAACAACAGCCGGCTTACCCGTTTTCAATTAAATATGACCGAGTGGAAGTGTGATGGATGCTTTTGGCAAGGTAAATAAATGTTTTACACCCGTTGAAACATTAGAGATATTTATTTTTTATTTTTACTTTTAACATCTTTATTGATTCTTAGCGCTTTAATTTGAAATACCTCACTGTTGAATTAAGTGTTGAACGTTTGCCAAAGTGGAGAACGCAATTGGTTTTATCCCAAAGCTGCAACATACTAGAGTCTTCAAATGGTAATTGTTCCAGTTAACCGGTCGTCAGCATTATGTCATCGGGTAGAATTTCGTGCTAGGTGCATTCAGCATAGTTATTAAGTAACGTAACGCTCTATAGTCTACAATTGGCGTTCTTCAATTTCACCAACTATCGATGGGACGCTTTTCCCATATGGGTACCCAACGTTATCTATAGTTTTGTAGCTACTTGCAATATTTAACGTATTTCATTGCTGATACTTTACAGTATGATATGGTTCATGTCACTTGCATCGTTAATATTTACGTAATATGATATAATAGTTACTTTGTACACATCAAACTTGGCGATAATGTCGTCGAAAAGAGTGTAGAGGTCATTCAGAAGGTCAACAACTTGCAAAGGAGTACTAGCGGCTGATATGCTGGTGAATCCAACGATGTCCGAAAAGAAAATCGTTACAGCTTCAAAGGCCTCCGGGTCCACAGACTTTCCGGACTTCAATTTCTCAGCAACGGCCCTACAATAAACATGCTAATTAGGATGTTGATATCTATATCAAGGGTCAAGGTATTGTTTTATTTTATTTATTTGTGTGACATTTTTAACATTTTATTCTAAATTTAATTCGTTAACGAGTTTGCTAGGTCTGTGAAGGTTTGAAAACTTTCAAGAAATGTCTTTTTGGCTACTTAGGAACGAGTAGCTGTAGACATAGAGGTTACACAACAAGTAGCTGTAGACATGTTTGTCTACTTAGGAACGAGTAGCTGTAGACATGTTTGTCTACTTAGGAACGAGTAGCTGTAGACATGTTTGTCTACTTAGGAACGAGTAGCTGTAGACATGTTTGTCTACTTAGGAACGAGTAGCTGTAGACATGTTTGTCTACTTAGGAACGAGTAGCTGTAGACATGTTTGTCTACTTAGGAACGAGTAGCTGTAGACATGTTTGTCTACTTAGGAACGAGTAGCTGTAGACATGTTTGTCTACTTAGGAACGAGTAGCTGTAGACATGTTTGTCTACTTAGGAACGAGTAGCTGTAGACATGTTTGTCTACTTAGGAACGAGTAGCTGTAGACATGTTTGTCTACTAAGGAACGAGTAGCTGTAGACATGTTTGTCTACTTAGGAACGAGTAGCTGAAGACATAGAGGTTACACAACGATGAGCTGTAGACATAGAGGTTACACAACGAGTAGCTGTAGACAGGTTTGTCTACTTAGGAACGAGTAGCTGTAGACATAGAGTTTACACAACGAGTAGCTGTAGACATAGAGGTTACACAACGAGTAGCTGTAGACATGTTTGTCTACTTAGGAACGTGTAGCTGTAGACAGGTTTATCTACTTAGGAACGAGTAGCTGCAGACAGGTTTGTCTACTTAGGAACGAGTAGCTGTAGACATGTTTGTCTACTTAGGAACGAGCAGCTGTAGACATGTTTGTCTACTTAGGAACGAGTAGCTGCTGACAGGTTTGTCTACTTAGGAACGAGTAGCTGTAGACAGGTTTGTCTACTTAGGAACGAGTAGCTGTAGACAGGTTTCTCTACTTAGGAACGGGTAGCTGTAGACTTAGAGGTTACACAACGAGTAGCTGTAGACAGGTTTATTGTACATTAGTGTTCTCGTGTTTAGTTTTATTGGGTTTAATGTCCTATTAGTTCTTACTGAGGCAGCATTCTGTAGAGAAGGCGATCCGTTTTTTGTTTCTCCTCCGACAATTCAATGGTTCTATGTTCTACTAGCTCTTCCAGGTTGTTGGCGTATTTCTCAAGCCTGGCTATCATGTCATCAAGTATTCCGACTTTCCTTAAAAAAGAGAATATTAACAGTTAGAATGTCGGACGACCAAATTCATCGCACTTTGGACATAAGATGCAATTCACTTATTATTACTAAGGCCATTACTTTCTTATCACACTAACACATGTATATTGTATAGTACTTTTCGTTAAGTTTTATATGTTAGCGATAATATTAAGATTTTTTCATATAAATAACATTGCAGGTATTTCCCATTTTTGGTTTGGTTTAATATGTTTAGCGTCTTATTAACAGCTAAGGTAATCTAAGGGGCAGCAGCCTTCCTTTATGCTATGTTTGATTTCTTGGTCCAACAAATGCTGCATAGCGAATTTGATGGTGAGAATATCAACCGTTAAAGAGGAATATACTTTCAATATCTCCAATGCCAAACGACACATAGCGAAACGATAAAGGAGGTTTCGTAGGAAATATGATTGAGATTCGTAGGTTTGTGTACTGATTATATTTGAACAGTGGGGTCGTTTCCCTGCTATGGTCCTGGGACTACGTTACCATAGGGTGGGTCGCTCCCCGTGCTTCATTCATGTAGCATGATAGAGTTTCATGTCCAGCGGTTGTTTACATGCTAATAAGTAAGTGATATCAACCTTTTTTTACTCACGAGGAAAGTTTATGGCACTCTCTCCTGTGAACTTACTGTCTAAATACCACAAAACAGGATATCCCGTTCGATCTCCACAACGGTTATCCATTATCATCTTTTACATATTTCCATTTGAATAAGTAATTAGTTGCAGATGTATACGCACTAATCCCTAATAGCCATTAATAATTCCCATATGTAATCTCTGTTGAAGCCGTATGTCTATACAAACTATAATCTTAGTGTCTACAACTATGGCAGTTAAAATCGACTGAATGTAAATCATCATATATCAATAACATAGAAACTGTAAATTCAATCATAAAATCTTTTGTTTTTTTTCAATTCTGAAATTGTATTCTTCTTCAACTATAGATATTACTCAGATTTTATTATGCATACATACCTGAAATTTGGGTTTATTTTACCACCAATGTATTATATCGTCTATGTAAGTATTAGGAGTCGATATGGATACTAGCAACAGGATAAGGAATGGCGCTGTTGGTATATCATGGATATATATGGTAAACAACTCTCAAAATCAAAAACATCGTTTACTAACATCGTTATATATCCGGATAAGTTCCAGTGAGAGCTACATGTACCTGATGTTGACGGCATTAGCAATGAACGTTTTAATGATGAAATGTCTTAGTATTCCTTGCAAAAAATAAATATATGAAGCAGCTAACTCGCGGGCAATTCACCAGGCCGGAAATCTGCAAATTTTTATGACACAGATTTTGAGATGTAACGACATACGCAAGAAGTTATGGTATGAATATGTAGTCATCGCATCAGACACAATGCTGTGATATCTGTTTCGTTATAACATCAGATACAATGCTGTGATATATGTTTCGTTATAACATCAGACACAATGCTGGGATATATGTTTCGTTATAACATCAGATACAATGCTGTGATATATGTATCGATATAACATCAGATACAATGCTGTGATATATGTATCGATATAACATCAGACACAATGCTGGAATATATGTATCGATATAACATCAGACACAATGATGTGATATCTGTTTCGTTATAACATCAGACACAATGCTGTGATATCTGTTTCGTTATAACATCAGATACAATGCTGTGATATATGTTTCGTTATAACATCAGACACAATGCTGGGATATATGTTTCGTTATAACATCAGATACAATGCTGTGATATATGTATCGATATAACATCAGATACAATGCTGTGATATATGTATCGATATAACATCAGACACAATGCTGGAATATATGTATCGATATAACATCAGACACAATGATGTGATATCTGTTTCGTTATAACATCAGATACAATGCTGTGATATCTGTTTCGTTATAACATCAGATACAATGCTGTGATATATGTTTCGTTATAACATCAGACACAATGCTGGGATATATGTATCGATATAACATCAGACACAATGATGTGATATCTGTTTCGTTATAACATCAGATACAATGCTGTGATATCTGTTTCGTTATAACATCAGATACAATGCTGTGATATATGTTTCGTTATAACATCAGACACAATGCTGGGATATATGTATCGATATAACATCAGACACAATGATGTGATATCTGTTTCGTTATAACATCAGATACAATGCTGTGATATCTGTTTCGTTATAACATCAGATACAATGCTGTGATATATGTTTCGTTATAACACCAGACACAATGATGTGATATGTGTTTCGTTATAGCGTCAATCGTTATCACATATAAATCGCTTTGAGACCCCAACAAGGTGTAGAATAGGTGTCTTACTTTCCAATGTGTTGACTTTTGATGATACTTTTGATCGTACTGTGCGATGGTCGGTCTGCTGCCTCCTCCCTCCAGCAATGTTTCATGAGATCAATGAGTCCTGGTTTCTCGTCATTTGAGTATTTCATGTCCGTATCAGGACGACAAAGTGTCTGTCCGCCGTCCTTTATTTTGGATATGATATCTGGAAAAATATGTCATGATAACATACAAAAATGGATGCGATACTATTTCTTATAGTTTGAAATTATATACATGTACAACGCATATATTTAGCAACAACTCTCTAATCTTTGATGGAAACCATTAGGCAATCGATAGTTGCAATAATACAATCAAGTTTACAGAAATACATTTAAACACTTCGATTATTGCGTCTGTTACGCACCATTTAAAATAAATATTATATTTTATTTCAAACGCCTCAAATACATATAGTTAATAGACGATATCCAAGCCCATAAGATAAAGGTTAAAACTGTTTTACATATCCCACGAGACCCATTGGTACAAGCTAGAACACATATATACAAATGCAGTTGCTGTCCTGGCAAAGTAAAAGCTATGGTAAGTCAGTGCGTTCCTGTTGGACCATACCCCTTGCAGTTAATGTAGATATCGGAAAGACTCCCATTCGGAAGTATGTTTCGTGTAGGATAATTCCAAACGAGTAGATATCTCCAGCTTGCGTGCCATTCCTATGCTGCACAGGTGACCGTAATAACTCAGGGGCGGTCCACAACAAAGCTACAAATTAAGCATATAGGCACACTTAATTTAAACATTAACTCAGTTTTTATACTATGATGATATTCATTTAGATGACCTTTAGGTTATATTGTTATACAAAGTGTACATTCAAAACACTTAGAATAACTCTTTTATTTCTATCTTTTAATCTGCGTTCTATTCTGTGTATCTGAATTGTGAATAGAATAAGATATATATGCATAAGCATGTTTCTAGATAACTAAATACACAAACGACCCGTTTATTTCAGCTGTTTAAAACCCAGCTATTTATATTTTTCCCACAGCGGATGCTTCTTATCGCAATATGATAGAAAATTTATGACCAGAAATACGCAAATAAGTCAAGAACAACTATTTCAAAGATGAGTAAGTCCACACGCATTTATATGTTGTCATGATTTTATATTTTAATTATTATTAACGGAATTGTCCCATCAAATATTAATTTGAAAAACAACCCAAAGCCAATAATCGAACAGTACTCGAAAGCAGCTTCACTTTTAAAACACTAATAAAGTGTTTGATATTTTTTCCAGGCTTGCAATTTTTTTTATTATTTTTTTGCATGCCGAAATATTATCATTTCTGACATTAGAGTAATGTTGCAACTTACCCTTACATTAAAAGATTTTGATGGAAGTAATATTACCCTCGATCATTGACGTAGAGTTTTTTTCCAAATACGGAGTGTTATTTTCTGCCTGAATGTATTGTATTAACAAAAATACAGATCATATCCGGTCAACAAAGCATTAAATAACGAAATAACAAATAAAAATGTTGCTATAGGAAATGTTTAAGAGAGACAACCAAGTGGAATCTAATTCATACGGTAATGTCACAATCAATTGTGAGCTCATTCACAGTAACCATTCACTATCATCTACCTTTATACCGCTCCTCCTCATATTCTCTCTGATCTGTATTAGACCCCACAAATCCAAAGATGCCGTAGTCAGACAGCTTCAGAACCCAGCGATTGTCCACAATACAATTAGAACTCTTCAACCTCCCAAATGACTTCAACGCAGACTCCGACAAATATATCAATCCCTTAAAACACATGAAATTTCTGTCATATTAAAACGAGAAAACGTTCATTTACCACATATTATTAGTGTTTTAATTAAGTATGTGTTTATGTGTGAGTATATCAATTATTAGTTTGTTAATTAAGTATGTATATATATGTGAGTATATTAATTATTAGTTTGTTGATTAAGAATGTATTTATATGTGATTATATTAATTAATAGTTTGTTAATTAGGTATGTGTTTATGTGTGAGTATATCAATTATTAGTTTGTTAATTAAGTATGCATTTATATGTTAGTATATTAATTATTAGTTTGTTAATTAAGTTTGTATTTATATGTGAGTATATTAATTATCAGTTTGTTAATTAAGTATGTATTTATATGTGAGTATATCAATTATTAGTTTGTTAATTAAGTATGTATTTATATGTGAGTATATCAATTATTAGTTTGTAAATTAAGTATGTATTTATATGTGAGTATATAAACTATTACCAGCGATTTCTTTATCTTACTAATAACACTTTGTAACATTTTTGTATTCAGTTACAGTTCTGCTTGTTAAATTTAAGATGCACACAATTTAATTAAAATTTCGCTTCATTGCATGTAACTTATGCATGTATTCAATATGACTTTGCTATTCATCTAAAAACCTTACTTTGACAATCCAAAGTTTAATCCCTTAACCTTTTAGGTCTGACTTCCACCAGCCATTTATAATATATCAGTTATTGTAAGCAATGTTTTAATATTCCGCGTGTACTTACCTCCAGACAATCAGATATTAACGACAATTTGAAGGTCCAATCCAGTTTGATGTCATCGTTTTGTAAAACATCCTGCAAAAAAGACACCAATTGAGACAAAAGTGGCAAATATAGTCATTTTGCCAGGTTACATACTAAACATAATAAAACCAAAAACAGATTTTTGCAAAACATCCGTAGCCTGGGATGAGAGGTCAGAGTATTGTCGTTTCTTTTTGTGTTTGGACCCATAGTGTATTTTATTAATATCCATTATCCGTGTTCCAGATCCATTTTTGAGTCCTACTAGGTGACACTTAGATCGAATGGATCGCCATTACCTAGTGCAAAGGCGATAGCATACAAGAAAGAGAAAGAAATACTGACTCGATTGATCCTAAAGCTAACACAGTCTTCGACGAAACTGGTAATAACTATCACAGGAAATAGACATAAGGTGAAATGAAAAAGAAGTCATATATATGACGTTTAGTAATCAATAAGTAGTGCTTAACAGACCGACCGACCGATCGGTTATTGAGAGCCACAACGACCACACAGGAACCCTAATTAGCGGACCTTTACGTGTTGCAGTACGTAAAGTGGATACATTTGTATCAAAATGATTGCTTCAAGACGGAGTAAGTAAATTGCTGAGGATAACATTGTTCTGTACATGTATGTTATATGCTCTTATACTTACCTGGAGACTGCCTTTGGAACTATACTGGAACAGCACACACACATTCGGGGGGTCAACACAGGCACCAATAAAGGGGTTCACGTTGTCGTGTGTCATATCCTTCATCTACAACAACGAAAGAACGTTTCAAAACCCATTAATAATTGTAACTTTTGCTTAGTTATTGTTACCTGCAATTATTACTTTAAAAGACAACTACACTGAAAGCAAAACAGTAACAGGCAATACAATTAGCTGTTTGCAATGATTACAGAAAGGCCTTACCGCCTGAAGCTCCACGTAGTCCTGCCTGGCCAGCATCACAGTTTGGTTCATGGACATCCGTATAGACACTGTCACTCCCTTGTACTTGCCCGTGCTTATATAAACGCCCTCATTTTCACCGTTATTGGATACAGTAGCCAGACTCAGCTTGCTAAACTGTACAAAGACAAAAAGTAGATCAGTCGCCAATGGTACTTACTTTTCTCGTGCTGCTAGGATTGCTGCAAGACTGAAAGCTGAACAAATCAGCCGGAAGGATTATGTTAACTGAACAACGAGTAGGCCTTGATTGGTATATACAGGTTTCAAATTCTTGCAACAGTAAAGGTCATAGCAAGACCAAGTCCACGAAAGCGGAGGTAGTTGTAAGTGCCACGACACAAGAAAGCCGTATCTGGACATGGGAATGCGAGAAGTCAAATTCCTACTACTTCTCGCTTGACGTTCCCAAATTTAATGGGAGGTTGCAGTAAGGACCGGTTTACCTATAATATATATGACCTTCAGACGAAGTGTAATTGAAATCCCTTTACCAGTTATGACGAAGTAGGATTTTAGATGTATACCTAATATTCCCTATTCTGCCCCAGGGATGTTAACCCTCCGTTTGATACAACACGGAGTCCCATTGACCCAAGGACGCTCAACGCCAAGTTTGGATCTAATTCCTTAATTCTCACCAAATAGAACTACTTTCAAGATTTGCCTTATTTCTTAATAACACCGACCATTTACCCGAATGACCGCATCATCGTTAATAAATGGGTGCTTTACACAAAATTTAAACTGCCGTTTTGGTCAGAAATGATTGTAACAGAAAAGTGGACGGACGGCCTCAGCTTAGTGCCTTTGGACCAGGTGAGCTAATCTAAACAGACCCTTTCATACCATACTACCAGCACCGGCCTGACCCTTGGGTTTGTAAATGTCTTCATATTGTACTTTCCATAGCATTTTCCTTATTTCGCTCTCATAAACGTTCTTTCTGTAAAGAAACCAGAGAGCATTAACAGCAAAATGTAACAGACACAGATTTTACTTAAATTGGAATAAAGACAATGATACATATAACAATAACATTTTATATTACAGCAGTAATAAAAGTGCTGCATTCGCTTGTATGAAGTCTCTCAGCTATATATATATATATGATACATTGATAACCGCACATAGACACATATTTACATCCTTTATAAACATGCTGTATTGTATTCTTACATGTTTACAGTGGTGCAACATATTGGCGACTAAAAGAATTGCAAAAAAAAAGTTTTCCTTAACTTTGTATCAAATCATTTAACATCTGTATGTATTTCATATTTACCTATGCCACAAATATATGAGAACAGCGGACGCCGATACGACTATAAGAGGAAAGATCGTCCCGAAGACCACTGGTAAAGCATCTATGGAAAATGCAAAACTTTATGTCAAGAAAACCACCTAAACGATACAAATGTTGCAGTCAATTTGATTGTTTCGTGATTTGTATGAACACATTATCATTGGATATATGATTACTTTATCAACTGCTTCAGTAATATTGTGATATTGATTGAAAATGAGTATAACACTTTTGAAATATCATTAATATTGAATTTCAATTTTCTTTGAATTACCCAGGCCATCCCCATGTTTGCGGGGGTGGGAGGGGGGGGGGGTGTTAGGCAACAACACCCCTTCCATCCATCCCTCCCCTGACCCAACCCATAGTTCTCGAAAAAAATAGTCCACTGCATGCTTTCGTGAGAGGTGAGTTATATGGGGATCCTCGAAGAATCGGCATCCCCAAGCAGAAGAGAAGAAGCAGTAAAAGCCACCGATTCTGCAGGAATATCTATATTAGTTGCCTCTAACGATAGCATGCAGTTGGATGTAGCAAGTGTTTGCTTTACTCTCATCTGCTGCGGTTGATTGTTCATGCTTCGAGGAAAATTTACGAAAAACAAATAAACACCATGGAGGATATGGACATTGGTCAATATGAATAAATATATAAGTTTGAAATACAGTTATGGCACCAATTATAAGGACTATGCTTGCTTATTGTGTTTACTTACTTCGTGTAATCAAAATCAGAGGTATGTATTTACGTATTAGTTGACTCACTATAAGGCGTAGGGGGACACCCGGTGTTGTCAAACCCGCATACTGGAGTAGATGGGGGCGGCAACCCGTCTTTTGTCAACCAAACAGGTTCTGCCGATAATTGGAAAACCTGTGTAAATATACAGCGGTATGCTTTACTCTTTCACGTTACGTCATTTTCCCATTGGTTTCTATGTTAATTTACCTTTTTAATAGATTTTCATGATTTCGTTTGTTTGTTGTTGTTTTTTTTTATTTACATTCTGCAAAGAAGTATACATTAATTCCGCTCGAAACATTTCATAAAATTATTTGTGAGGGTAGTTTCACTTTTTGTCTCGCATTAAAATTGCTATTGACGTTATTCACATAGTTAGCAATGGCAAAGCCTCATATATCAACGCGAATTAACTCAAAGATGTTAAAATCCTATAAACGGGTAGTTATATGAATATAATTATCAGAAATGCTGTATTTATGATTGTCTAGCTGTACACATTCACCTGAACGGGACCTAAATTGCATTAAGGCAACTTGATTGAGAAAAAGGTTTTTGTAGAATTTTATTTCTAGTGTTATTCGGATTTTACCGATAAACTCACTTCGGTGGCTGTGATGTCGACAGTCGCCAATATACGAGAAACCCCAGACGAGTTCTTCCAGTCAAGGATCCAAAAAATCGTTTCCCGGTCACCATTGTTATCAAAAGCCACAGTACCATCAGGACCTGAAGTTGAAGTCATGTACAGAAAAAAACTATATTTAACAAAAATGTTTGTCAACTCTTAGGAGCTTTATGTAACGAGTCGGAGTTACGAAAAGTATAGCGGTTAGGAGAGAAATGAAATTAGTAATTTTTTCATAATAAAAATACAAACTATCTGGAAATAAATTAAATTACAAGTTGTAGATAAATATATTATCCATGTATGTATCAATAAATATTTTATGCATTTAGGCTGCAATTTAGTTAGGACAGCATTATCTGTAACAGTGTCCTACACAGCGTATTCTTCTACAGACCTGTAAACGTGAGGTTCTGGGTGAACAAGAACATTCCGCGTCCGTCTCTATAATCGAGATTATTCTCTATAGTATGGTTCAGCCACATAAACCAGGTAAAGGCAGCGTCATATACCATCGCCGCCATACTAGAACCCTGAAGAAGGAAGAAAGCCATATCATATGACAAACATTTCTATGATTAATACTTCGTGCTGTAATTTGACATACACTGAGCTTCTATGGGTTAACAATTTATATAAATGTGTAGAGATACGTACTTATGTATTCGTCCTTATGTAAAGGTAAAAATGGGATCGTAGTTTAAATTGTAATGTTTAAAGGAATTATGCCACACATAGCGTACCAAAGCTAAGCTTGTTTGGTATAGGTGTCTCGTCCTATTAAACAGCTACGACCAGTTTAGGCCGTGGTATCAAAAACTATAATCATATAATGTATCTATGTGTTCAATATAAACAAAACAAAATTACTAATTTTTAATTTAACAGCCCCAATTACTTCAAACATACCCCAGACCCGTTATCCGTAGCCTCAGTATTATTCCATGGCTCTTCGTGCATGCGCAAAGGTACTTCAGCTATAAGTCTTTCGACCTGACCTTTCGAAGCATCATCCATCCACTGTGCTTGCAAAATCTATAAATCAAACACAATTATAACGTATTGCAAAGACATTCCAATACATAGCATTTTCCAGTTATTTTTCATTCGTTCCAATGTTTTGACAGTTTCGTTTCTTTTTTTTTAAATGTGAAATGTTTATCCCATTTATTCGACAAACCGCTTTTGTTCTTTTTTACGGCTCAAATGTTATTGCATTTTTGATTATATTGTTTCCAAGAACATCCAAAGCAAGATCAATTGTAATTGCTTCATCTGTAACCAATAGAAATATTTTTGAGCAAACTGAGGAAAAGAGATACTGCTGCTGCAACTTTGTCCTCAACAGCAGCGTGTATTATTAACGTTTTATATCCATCCTGTCGTCTACTATAAAGTACATCTATTTTCGCAGTCGCCTACCTTAATGACGTGTCGGTAGGCCGCTTTAGCATCGTCGTCGCTGCTGTCGCCTTCTTGCCAGGGACTGTACTCTGCACTTCCTGTTATTGCATACGTGTCAATGAACACATATTCCCCGTTGCACATGCCTAGCTGACAGGCGAACACCACAATCTTCCGGAAATACGACCCAGAACACACGGCAATAACTAAAATTCAAAAAGTTCTCTGCGTCATTGCATTCGGTATTTTTATATATGCATAAATGAAAGGCATATATTTTAGAAATATGATATATGGAAAATGCCACAGAGTACCAAACATCTTTCCGATGCATCTGTCTCGATTTCAAATACAGTTAAATCATTTCCAATCCGAAAAAATATTATCTCCCCCAAAATCATCATTTTCGATATAGCGATGCTTTGTCTTTTGTGAATATATTATCCGGCTGCCTTTTTGTCAATGCAGGCATACTCGAAATTCAAAACCAATCGAACTAAATTCCAGTAGAAGTTGGTTGCCGTGGATTCCCAACCCAGTCTGTGTGAAAGACGTTATATACAACATTTGATATAGCGCCCTATATAGCTAACATAAGCCACTATAAAGCGCTTTACAGTACACAGATATACAGTTATATACAGTCAATACGATTAGCATATATATAAGTCAATACAATATTGAGGAATTCGCAGAAGTTAACTACTAGTCCTAAGTCACCTGGTTAATATCTCCCTATGTGTGTATGCCTGTGTGTTTGCTGGAGATGTATTGTGTTCTGTTTGTAGTGGGACCGTGCTTCCAACGGTATCATTTATAGTGCCACTTCACTTGAATGCTACAGCACAGATACCGCAACACCCACCCCAGACCATTTTATACTCCACCTTGGTTGTTGGAGTTGTGTGGGTAGGAGAAAAACACTTTTTCTGCATATTCCATGCGTACGGAGACTTCGGGGATCGAACCCCGGCCGCCTGCTTGGAAGGCCGGAGTGTTAACCACTCGACCGATAGCAAGCCGAGAGAGCATCATGCTGGATATGACAACGGCAAAAGGACAAGGAGTTGAAGTGGCACAACGACACACAGTGAGAACATCACCACTGTGGATCCGCCAACTGTAGGATGTCATGATTTTGAAGGGTCGAAACATTCAGCGACGGTTGGTAATCATCTGAAGATGTCAAAGTTGCGACTGACACTCCCACACCAGATGCAGTGACAGAAACCAGATGCTACAGTTCCGGTATGCACCAACGAAGTCAACGAAGGGGCGACAACACCAGATGTCAGACGAGATTTAGTCTGACCAGATCAAAGCAGACATAAAATTTTCTGTAAGCATTTATATAATAGTTAAGATCGCATTTATATCCATAAAATGACGGGAAACTAATCTCCGATTGGCATGGACACATTCCGGAACGAAGTCGGTAGCATACTTGTATTGTTTTTGTGCATGCCAAACAAGCATATACGCGGTTATAATAATGGGAATCCCAACCAAAAACTAAGAAAGATTCGCAACACTGTAGTACAAACCATACACAGGTGTCATCCCCATAGACCGAATGACAATGTTGTATGTTTTTGTTTTATCATATTTGACCCCCGTGGCATTGAAAGTTGGTTGTAATCCTAGGTACCTTCCGGCCGAACATCATGACTTTGGGTATTGGGGAAATTGAGAATTCAAATATTAAACCTTTTTTTGCCAATAATACTCATGATAACCTTTGACCCTAGCGTTCAAAATTTGCATTTGACCTAAAACTAAGTCATTCAAAAGAATCCTGCACTGCTTCCTGTATCAAAGTTCTAAACCTTATTCCTTTAATTATGTTATTAAATTTTTAAAAACATTTTCGACCCTTCAAACATTTAAACCATGTCAATGTCATACATATAATACAAGTTTGGCCGCTTCCCGTAACCGCTTCAACTGTTATTACTGGGCGACCTGAAAAGAAAACTGTTGCACAGATCTGAACTCTAGGAAATTCGGTATGTTCCAGTTCAAGTAGTGCCTGCACAAAAAGGGTTCCAGTAGTGCCTGCACAAAAAGTGCAAATGTGAAAGAAGCACGTAGTGTTCTTGATTTATTGTTATTTATTTGTCACTAAACTCTGAAACTGTGCATTTTATGCTTTGCTTATTAGTTTGGCCCACTTCAGGTCCACGTAAAATTGTTTATCGCAGAATCGTTTTTGTTCCACCTGATTCATTTGAACCGGGATACCCCAAAACGACCCAAATGACACTCTATCCCTGGTACATGTTGGCCAACTGTAATGATTCGACGTCCTAATTCTTTAAGAAGTCGTTCAACGAAAAGTTGACAGCGGATGACGAACGCAGAACCATACCATAATCTCTCACAGGCACTTAGTAACGGTGTAGCTTTAAACTGTCATGTGTTGACGCATACAATCATAACCCGTCTACAAAAGGTAATAGCTTACCTGAATTTAAAGCTGATCTTCCAATCGAATTCAAGTTATTCATTATTTATGATACTTGTGCTCGATGTGCGTTTCTTCAGATTAGTTTAAAGTAGTTCTGCCCGTAGGGTTTACTTCGATTTAAAAAAAACACAACAATATATTAATTAACTAACATCTCAATAACAAAGACTTACTCCGCACAGTGTCTCGTAGATTAATCAAGGTTTTGATGATATCCTCATCCGTTATAGTGTTCCTGTCGAACTCCGTGTAGGAGGCTATAGATATCTCTGTTTTCTGTAAGGCTTGCGTGATGCTGTTGGTGACGTACAGACAAATTGCTGAAATTCAAAACAATCGCTTGCTTTTTTATACATTTGTACCACAATGAACAACGATACAGTGATAGTAAGGCGACACGGCAACACCAGTGACGTCGTTCTGTTCTGGGTTATATGAAGACGGCTGCCTAGAACAATATCACTGGAAAACATTGGTAACATTATCAACAATTAAGGACCAACGCAAAAATCTTTGTAAAATGTATCATGTTTTATCACAAAGATCATTAGGATGAGAAAAAAACTGTTGCAAAGTTCGTAGATTGTACAATTTGATTATTATTTAAAATGCATTCGTTTAAAATGATAAGCAAATGCAATAATTATATGTATGATAGTAACTGGAGAATCACAATCATGGAGGGTTGTTCTTCTTTTCGTAAAATCTAAGTGTATGTGATGAACGTATGGCCTTGTCGACTTCCTGCCTGTGATGTGTTTCCTTCTTACACATGAACCTCATCAACTGGAATTGCAAATAACTTATATTTCGTTATATCATAGCATCCATTTTCCCAATTCGTTTTAATAAAATGTGCTATTCTGTTGACATGGTGACCATTGGGTAATTCATTAAAACCGCGAAAATAAATGTAAACAATCAAATATTTTATATATTCCTGAATTTATCAATTAACTTAATAAAGAAACACATATAAGGACATTAAGTACAAGCCACTTACCGTAATCTTCTCCAAATATTCCGAGCCTGGTCCATGCAAAATGGTTAAGGAGCACCAGTACGGAGTTACCTGCCTTGTTTGTTGGCCCTTTAGTCCGAACTAACGTCTTGAATAGTTCTTTGTCCGACAAAAGAACGTCTATGGCGGACCAAGAAATGTGTGGAATGTTGTAGTGGGACGTCATATACGCAACTGGGATGTTAGCTTATTAAAAAAATGAAAATATCAAAATGATAACATGAAGCGTTTGAACAAATATTCAGAGAATGCATGAACGATTTTAAGTGGATGTCACATGGAGAAAGCATGTCTTATCGCATAGCATTTTCTGATAAATAGACTGAGTTAAAAATTATTTTAGAAATATTTAATACATTCTCACCGAAGATGTATTTTTAAAAGTGAAATATGTTTGTTATTGGTTAGATTTATTGAAGAGGCCAATGCACACACGTTATTTGTCAATTGAAGAAAAAACGTTCCAATCCCTGTCCACAAATTAGAAAGAATAGCTCCTCATGCTTTAGATTTATGTTTGAATAATGGCCCCGACATTTTGTTTGATAGCATCACTTTTCACTTAACATAAAGTATACTTAAATCAAAAAGAATAAAGTAGAATATGTCATTGACTTTTCAGATGATTTTCATTTGATCTTACCGCGTGAAGATGGATGACCGAAGACCAGATCGACTTTGTCCCGTAGAACCATGTCCACCACCTGGCCGGTCGACTCCACCCCGTCCTCAGAGAAGTAGTTCAGGATTCTATAACGAAATACACATATTGACTTATCTAAATGAAGTGACCAATAGGAATGCAGCATTTGTTCATTTGTCCAGGGTTCAACGCGAGTCAAATGAAGATGGTGTTTATAGATGATTTGGCTGATTTAAAGCGTCATATCACTGAAATGTCATAAGATGAACACGGTAACACATCCGACGCGCGTTTGTGCTATCTTCTACACACCACCCAAATAAGTTTGCTGTCGCTATTGCAACAATTTGGATATTAACATTTCTCTCGGCATTCTTTCTTGTGTACTAGAGCTGGTTTAATCGGAGTTTAATGTTCCCTGGTGCCTTGCTTTACAATACGTTAGCCACATGGGAGACAGCAATGGGTTCAGTCTCCGAACTACGACATATTGAAGTCCTTAAAAATGTCAGTTGTACTTTATCCCTGCTTTACGGTGGCTTGACCGGCTTTCTACCACAATCACCATAAGTTTCCTCACTTCCGACTCATTGAATAAACCCGCTAGCAGTAGGTACATATATTGGGTAACCCTCTAGTTGGCAACACACTGACCATTATTTCATTTGTAAATCGTCTCAAATTGTAAAAGACAAACGATAAACCTAGTGTCTTTATACCGTTTGAAAATTAACTAAATCGAATTAGATGAAAATTTTAACCAACTCCCAGTCGTTAGGGAACCTCTATTTAACTATAATCTAACCAGTCGGACAAATGAAGTAGGTGCCTGCGGCACGGTATGGCATTTCAGCCAGAAAGCACTCCATGTTCGACATCAGATCCAAGCTGCCGCTAGGCCGCAAAAACACCAACATACCACACTCAGCACACATGCATACATTTTATACATGAATGGATTTCCTTAAATGACCTGAGTTGTTAAAAGAACAAAGAATACAAATAAACCAACCAAACCAACCAGGATATGACGCGGATGATTTAAAGTGTAATTATTAATAATAATAATAATAATAATAATAATAATTCGAGGTTCTTATATACCGCTTTATCACAAACTAGTTCGTAGGTCGTCCCAAAGCGGTTCACAAATTATTATCCGTGGTTATAGGGCCTTTGCAACCAGCCAATACCTTTCTCAACTACCTGGGGAGAATACAGCCAGAGCTGCCATTTCGGCGCTAACATCTAGCATTCAACAATTCTAGCACTGCCCAACCACGTACGTATTTACAGCTGAGTAGACTGGAACAAGCGGAGTAAAGTATCTTGCTCAAAGATACAACACCTTGCCGTGCCGTGGTGCGAACACGCAACCCTCCGGTCACGAGCCCGGCGTCCTACCACTGGACTATCACTTGACTACCGTGCCTCTATTCTGTTTTTGACATCCTTAGGACTGTTAGTTTGTTCCTTCACGCATTCAATGTATATCAACTTACATTACTTTTATTTAGTTTGGTACGCAACTCATGACTTTATCGTCTCGGTATTGATGACAAAACTCTGAAATTACGTAAGTGCAAGGGTCATTACAGAAACCTCTGCTTCTGTTTGATATACGGACTGACCTGAGTCACGCTTTCGTATCTGTCTATCTGTTTCTCAATCATGTGCTACATGCAGCAGTCGTTGACTAACGTTGTAACTTTCTCTACAGAAATGCCTTTAATGTACATGAAGCTATCCAGCCCTATTCGTAAGATTATACGTCTCACAAGCCAAGAGAGGTTTTATGGTGGAAAGGAAAATACATACCGAGCTGTTATTACAAATCAACCATAGCCGTCTGTGAGAACTGCCAATTGAATCGTTTAATCCGCCCGCACTCTTGGCAGCAGATTTTTCATTTCAATTCCGATGTCTCTAATTACGAGTTTCCGAAATTTGTTCTTTCAATAAAATGGTATGAATAATCAATTTCATAATTCAACTAACAAAAACGTAAAATCTGAAGAAATGACGTCTTTTGATAAAAAGAATGTTCTTTACTGCTAAAGAAATCAACAAAGGTAGTTTGATTTTCATACCGTGTCTTACATATAGGAACACGATCAAAGTTATCCTCATTTCGTGAGAATAACCTTACTATCACGTTACTAATATTATATAGGCAAACGTGTATTTACCCACCTTCTAGTAACACTATGGCATCACATATCCATTATGGTAAAGGTTAATTGTACATAATCATACATTTAGGGCAAAGAAACTGTGTCAAACAAATTTTTAATAGAATGTAGTTCTCAAAATATTCTCAAAAATATATCAGCTTTTATAATTCAATCACAAAGATTTTCTAATATTGTGCTATAAGTCCTTACCTTGAATTGAAATTAAATTGGTTAAATTTGTCATGTTATGTACATGTCTTCTTTTCCTTCTTGGCAGATATCACTATAAAATACCTTAATTAGCTTAATTTAAGTTAATTTAAACACATATTTTTCCTTCTGTTTCTGCTCTTATGATATAGCTGAAGTATACAAGTGCACATGTACTTTCCCCTGGGCACCACAGATTGGGTATAGCCATACTAGCTACACGAAGTAACTCCTGCTTTAAAAAATGTGCAAACAATCATAATATGTCCTAGAGTTGGTGTGACCCTACCACTAAACTTAATATTTATTTGCTGGAATTGGCTTTTGAACTTCGTTAGTGGATGGCTGATGTGTGACATATGGATTGTGTATGACCTGTTTCTTTTGGGAAAAGAAAGCCAAATCTAACAAATATATATGTTTTGAATATTTCCATAATATATAAGAAAAAAGAGTCGCTATACCTAAGGAAAATATATCTTTTATCAAAACTTGTTTATTACTAGGCCTTAATTATAAGGTTGCTATCTTTACACATCACTAATATATAATCTGCTTTATAGGAGAAACTTCCCCTTTGTGTATCTATAATGTGAATGTTTTTGATATATGTAAACAATGTGTTCACCATCGGATGTAGCTGTAAGGAGAGGACTTATATAGGCAATGCCTAATGTCCAATCCTTTTGACTTCTCCTGTCAATAGTATATGTTGAAATTGAAATTGAATACAATGTAGTTTAGATCGCATTTGTTTCCATAAAATGACAGGAAACTAAACCCCGGTGGGCATGGACAGATTCCGATTGTATTGTTCATGCCAAACAAGCATATATATGCGGTTATACTGATTCGAATCTCAACCGTTTTTAAATTCTGACCCGAAAACTGAAAAAGATTCACAACACTGTCCTACAAACCTTACACAGGTGTCATCCCCCTATACCGAATGACAATGTCGTATGTTTTTATTACGATATCTGACACCCGTGACCTTGAAAGTTGGTTGTAAGTCTATAAAAGGAAAATTTATTATAACACTCCATCCCATGTACCTACTGGCCCAACATCATGACTTTGGGTCTTGAAGAAATTGATGATTTAATTCTTGCCAATAAAGCTCTTGTTAACTTTTGACCCTAGCGTTCAAAATGTCCCTTTGACCTATACATAAGTCATTTTTCAAAAATACTTTCGACCGTTCGAATACGCGGATGATTTTTAAGTGTAATTAATTTTCTGTTTTTGACATCATTGGGACTGTTAGTTTGTTCCTTTATACATTCAATGTAAATCAACTAACATAACTTTTAGTTAGTTTGGTACGCAACGTTGGTATGATGTATGCCTACGCATGACTTTATTGTCTCGGTATATACGACAAAAAACGTCACTGCAAGCTTTTTAATCTGTCTTTCTGTTTCTCAATCATGTGCAACATGCAGCAGTCGTTGACTAACGTTGTAACTTTCTCTACAGAATTGCCTTTAATGTCCATGAAGCTATCCAGCCCTATTCGTGAGATTATACGCCTAACAAGCCAAGAGAGGTTTTATGGTGAAAAGGAAAATACATACCGAAATTTATTCTTTCAATAAAATGGTAAGAATAATCAATTTCATAATTCTACTAACAAAAATACTTCAAATCTGAAGAAATGACGTCTTTTGATAAAAATATGGTTCTTTATTGCTAAAGAAATCAACAAAGGTAGTTTGCCTGTCATACCGTGTCTCACATATAGTTAGTTAGATGTACATCAAAGTAAGATTTCTAGGAAAATATGGATCTGACCGATGTCACTGTACTGCAAAGGCGATAGGTCAGAATCTGTCTGGTGCCGTCTTCAATAAAGGACTTTCATGCTGGAAATTTCCATCAATAGCTGGATGGTGTTTCCGGAGTTGATCCGAATGCATCCGTTGTAAATGGTGATAAAGATATAAAGCATGTTCAATATATCCGGTCATCACATCTCAAATGGAAGACTAATTAAAATGACATTGGTAAAGGTAGAGTTATCCTAGAATCAGATTAACACATTAGAGAGTACGTTATATGTCTTCTTGTGTTCGTATCTAAACAATAAATCATAGATGAATAGCTCGACGAAGCTTGATATAGTACGATTTAGTATAACCGATCAGACAATAATGAATTAGATCCCGACACATGGTGTGTCCTTTGGATTATCTTATAATACTGTAACGGTACCCACCATGGTGTGTCCTTTGGGTTATCCTACAATACTGTAACGGTACCCACCATGGTGTGTCCTTTGGATTATCTTACAATACTGTAACGGTACCCACCATGGTGTGTCCTTTGGATTATCTTACAATACTGTAACGGTACCCACCATGGTGTGTCCTTTGGATTATCTTACAATACTGTAACGGTACCCACCATGGTGTGTCCTTTGGATTATCTTACAATACTGTAACGGTACCCACCATGGTGTGTCCTTTGGATTATCTTACAATACTGTAACGGTACCCACCATGGTGTGTCCTTTGGATTATCTTACAATACTGTAACGGTACCCACCATGGTGTGTCCTTTGGATTATCTTACAATACTGTAACGGTACCCACCATGGTGTGTCCTTTGGATTATCTTACAATACTGTAACGGTACCCACCATGGTGTGTCCTTTGGGTTATCCTACAATACTGTAACGGTACCCACCATGGTGTGTCCTTTGGGTTATCCTACAATACTGT